TGACTCCTGTTTAAAAGCAAGCCTGACTGAAGATACAGCATGATGGACCATGAATTCAGAAGGATCTAGGCTTCCAACAAGACTCTTGCCAAAAAGCATGAATTCTGGAACCAGGCAAATCTGGCTTGAAATGCTAGCCCCTCGCTCCCATGTGTGACTTCAGGCAAGTTACTTCATTTCTTTAAGTATTGTATTCACCATAGTAAATAGTAATATTATTTGCCATCCAAGGTTGCTGTGAGGATTAAATGAGGTAAGATCTAGCTCAAAGTACCTAACCACAACCTGCCATATATATGGTCGGCTCTCATAAAATGTTAAAGTTTTACTTGAAGTCCAAGATTCAAATCGTTCTTATCTATAAAAATTTGAGCAAGTCATCCAAAACCTCAACCCTCACTTTTCTCCTAGGTTCAATAAAAGTATCACACACTTCATAGGCTAGGACTAATGAAATGTTAGCCCTACAGACAGGATTTCTTACACTTTAAAATAAGTAACTGTTTTCTTGGTTTTTTGTTTTTCCTTCCCTAAGGTTCTAATAGGGGAAACACCAGGACTGCAGTCCAGAAATCCTGACATACTGAGCTAGGTTCTCTGTCCTGCCACGAGGCTTGGAGTGCCAGTGTTTGGAAGAACAGGTTGGGATGGCACACAAATATAATTTAGGAGCTGGGAAACATACTGCAGCATACTACCATCACTCTAGAGAAACCGTGGCTGCATATCTTGCGGCCCCATGCAGATACTAGTGATGTTGAGGCATTTTTCTGTTTTGATTTACATCCACATAGCTGGTGAGAAGGTGAATAGTTCTCAGGATGGAGAGTAGAGAAGTGCAGAACATACTTTTTTACACTTTTTCCATGTTGTTTCCTCCCTTACAATATAAAGTCCATAAGTCTGTCTTATTCATTATTGAAACTGCAGCACATATAAGAGGTAGGATGCCTACAAGTGCATTTGATGAACAAAGTGGATAAAAGTGAAAACCAACTAAAACAAAGTGAAAACCAACTAAATATAAAATCAAGATTTGTTCATAATTTTGAAAAGAGGCAGAATGAGACTGACGATTGGAAAGCCAACTTGTGTAGTGCTCCTTCTGTTTTCTCTTTATTACCAAGCTCTGAATTGCTGGAAAAGGCAAATTTCTTCTTTAAAGGAAAACACAATCAGCATCAGAAGATAACAGTAACTTCAAACAGAATTGAAACTCCCTGCCTGGCCTTTTGATCAAAGGCGCATAAAGTCAGAAGTCCTAAACTTTATCACAGCCAGATAATAAAATAGAAAGAAGAGAAATATGAAGAGTTTTGAATGTTCTGGTACTTTGTCTTTCAAATTCACTTTTGTGCAAAACATGCACATACACACAAATATGAACATATGAAGTATTAATTTGCTTATTTTCTGGCTGCATTGCTGCAAATGCCTTTTTGATTTGGGAAACCACACATTTTACTCATTCCTTTCTGACCATACTGTTAGCTAGAAGCTTAGCACACAGCTTCTAGTCACACCTTAAAAGCTCTGGGTCACACTTTCAAACCTCAGTGATTTATCAGATCATAGCAGCACACTGTTCTTCCTGCTCCAGACTAAAAAGAGGGATGTCTGGAAAAAACCGTAGCATGCAGGGAAGATGGTCCGAATCACTTCATTGGGAGAACTAACCTCACCCAGACAGGTTCCCACCTCCTTTTTTATTTGTCCTAATGCTTTTTATGCCACTGCATGACACTAGATTTCCTGGTTCTCATAGTAAAGAAAAATAAAAAGATCGCTATCTTGAGATTTTCTGTTTCCCTATCACCCTTTTTGTCCTTGTCTTTACATACAGTATATTCAGATACTCTAAATTTAAAGTGTATTGTCCCAACTAGACCTCCAGCAATCAATCAAACAGTAACCATCCTTCCTCTTACTTCTGAGAAACCAAACAAGAGGGCCACCTCAGGAATTAAGTTAAGCATGATTACATAATGGCAAAAAAAAAAAAGGTTCCTGATGGTGATTTAAGGGAAAATAGTTGAGCTGATCCATAATTAAGACTTCCGATTCTTAAATCAGCATTCTCTCCACCATATTACATGGTTCAAACTGGGATAACGTAGATACCTAAGATTTTGAGTGGTAGTTCTCCAACTTTACTGTTCTTCATATGGGAGTCAGCCAAGGCAGATTCTGAACTGACTCTCAAATCTTTCATTTACCTTTGTTGTTTATCTTTATTACATTTTTAATTTTTAAAAAATTTTTATTTATAAAGACAGGGTTTCACCATGTTTGCCAGGCTGGCCTTGAACTCCTGACCTCAGGTGATCCGCCCACCTCGGCCTCCCAAAGTGCTGATTACAGGCGTGAGTTACCATGCCCGGCCTCATTTTAAAAACTTCTATTAGTTAATTATCTGTTCATGCTAGGAATCCAATTATTAATTAAAGGGGTCAGTGTTAAACTTATAGCACAACGCATGTTATAAATCAAAACAAAGTAGTCTAATAATAGAATATATAAATCATCTCAGCTACATTTGTATTCACATTAAAAAAATCCATACAAATTGACTCAGCCTGATATCAATGAAATACCAAAGATAAATAATCTAAAGGCAAATAATCTAAGGAGAGAGCAAAATAGCAACCAATTCAACAAGCTTAAAACACACCTAGTGGCCAGGCACAGTGGCTCATGCCTGTAATCCCAGTACTTTGGGAGGCTGCGGTGAGCAGATCACAAGGTCAGGAGTTTGAGACCAGCCTGACCAGCATGACAAAACCCCATCTCTACTAAAAATAAAAAAATTAGCCAGGTGTGGTGGCATGCACCTGTAATCCCAGCTACTCAGGATGCTGAGGCAGGAGAATCTCTTGAACCCGGGAGGTGGAGGTTGCAGTGAGCTGAGATCGCACCACTGCACTCCAGCCTGGGTGCCAGAGCGAGACTGTCTCAAAAAAATAAAAAAGACTACATGGAAAAGACTGTGCTAGGGTTCTGCACTATCTCATGAGAGGGGAAAAGGTGGAATGAGGTGTAGAAACAGTGCTTGGAAAAAAGTTTATTTCAAGAGGTCTCTTTATTAAGAAAGGAGGTAAAAGGAACATAACCTGAGTGCAATAAAAATCTAGTTTCATATAAAACTAGTACTGTACAAAATTCAGTTTCTAATGATCACTGTCCATCAGCAGCTTACAATCAAATAAAAGACAGATCAAAGTGTAAGAAAGTTGTGGTTAATGATACTTTCCTAATGGTCTAGTCTCCCATCTTGATTTTTTTTTGCCATTTATTTTATTGCATTTTAGGTTTTGGGGTACATGTGAAGAACATGCAAGATTGTTGCATAGGTACACATGTGGCAGTGTGATTTGCTGCCTTCCTCCCCATCACCTACATCTGGCTTCTCTCCCCTTGCTATCTCATCTTGGTTTAAATACGAGAAATCCTAGTAGATAGTGGGGATAGAGCAAAATAATCAATACATAAGTAAGTCAGAGAATGGGGACAAAGAGTTAAAGATTTTTTAATGTAAGCACTATTTCTCCTCAACCTTGTTCAGTTTTGAATGAATCATCTTATTCAACAGGAGCCACAGAATGAAGGTTATTTTGAGGAACAACCAAAAACTATGCGCCCACTGGAAGTTCAAAAGGCAATTGCTCTTCTTTCTTCTTGCGGTTGACACCAAATGCAAGAATATTATATGATTTTGTATTGCACAATTATCAAGGTCTACAACCGGAACAGAAATATTTTACATACAAGACCTGAAGATGATGGTTTACTTGCACAATGAAGTAGAAATCAGTTGCTTTCCATGGCAAATGTGAAGACAGTGGGTCTTCATTTTGGGCAGTGAAAAAGACCATCTAGTGCTCCATGGCAAAAAGGTTACCAAACCATGCTCTAGACCTATACTGTCCAAAGGGTAGCCACTAGACAAATGGGGCTATCTAAATTTAATGAAAACTAAGTATCACTACAAAAAATGTAGTTTACTGGCACCAATTACACTAGTTAAGTGAAAAACCAAGATGATTTATAATAGACATATTACAGTAAAAAACATGTTAAGTATACAATCTAGGTTGGCATATAGGTATTCACTTTCTAAATCTCAAGAGTTTTATGTTTTATCCTTTTCATATTAGAAAAAAATTCTTTAAAGAGCACCATAGATTCAGTTATATGAGGCACATGCCTCAAGTAATCAGTAACCTTATTTGGCCAGTGGCTATCCTATTGGATTGCACTTAGAATATTTCCATTATTGCAAAAAAGTTACTGGACAGCCCAACTCCAGAGCCTAGCTCAAGAGTCCTGGCAAGATTTCAGAAACTAATTATTTCATCCAAAAGTCAGTGCTAACTCCTTCCAGGGGCAAGTGGATCATAACTACCACAACAGCATAACGTTTAAAGAGTGGGGGTTCAGATGGAAGAATAAAAGGAAACGAGGGACATGGCTACTATCAGAAAGAGGTTGAAAAGAACAGGGAAACTTAAGAGAGACCTGTGTTCAATAGGAGTTAAAAATATTTATGTACATTCCTACATACATGTGTTTGTCTAAACATTTAACAATATATAAAGCTGAAAACTCATTTAGTTCTCCCCCAACCACTACACAGTAAACATTGCGAATTAAGGAACAAGGGCATCATCAAAGATATGCCTAACATGGGGTAGAATTTACTCCTGTAAAACTTGAGGACATCACTGCTTATAACTGAAAATATTTAAATGTGAACAGTCCCTGAGGGGTTTGTGATAACTGCAAAAGACCCAGACCTTCCATAAGCCCCCAAAATTAAATTCAATCATGAATGGAGGAAATATCTACAATTGCTTTTAATGGATGAGAAACTGTCTACATATTTCCACCTACAGTATCTTCTATCACAGGATATATGTACCAGAACAATTTGTTATTATCTTTAAAGCGCATTAGAGACATGGCCTCCTAGAAAAAAACAAACAAACAAAATACTCTGCAACCAGGATTTGGCATGTTTTATTAGAGCAAATTTTTAACAAAAGGTGACTTTTATTTACAGAATTTAATGTGTGTGGGGACTGTTCAAACCAAGTGGACTCAAGTTAGGATAACCATTAAGCCTGTTAATGTATTTTCTTATTTTCAGTTTACATACAATTTTTTTTTTTGCTTCGCATTCATAAAAACCCCAATATTGTAAATGACAAATAAACCCTCCATCCCTTAATTAAATATACAAACAGCTTGAAAAACATGGAATTTAAATTGGTTTAATCTTGAAGTGTAATCCAATGAGACTGAAAACTAAACATTTCAAGTCTTGTACCAAATAGTAGAATACTCGAAGGCCTTCAGGATCCCTAAAATTTAAAAAGGTAAAAGTTACTTTTTGTTCCTAGGATAAAACAATTCTTTAAATTCCTAAAACAAAACAAAATCAAAATCTTATAACAATTAAGTTAACAAAATTTAGGAGAAAGGAAGGATTTTGCTAACAACTAAAATGAACATACAATGAATATCTTTTATAAGAAAAAAAGTTTCTTCATCAGTATTCATTTTAGTGTTTAAAGAGTTTAATCTTCTTATGAATGTAATAACCACATCATAAAAATATCTAATAAAGCAGAAAAAAATACTGTAATGCCACTATTTTCATAGAATAACTATAAACACTTTGATATTTCTCTATTCGTTAATAACTACAATTATTCCCTGTGCCCTTTTTTAATTACTTTCCCCATGGCACTCAAAAGAACTCACTAATAATTTTTAATTAATTTAATAATTCTCCCCTTATTAGACACTGGGATTATTTTCCTATTATAATTAATACTTCAATGAGCATCTTCATGTATAATAAAGCTTTTCCAATATTTAGGAACAGTTCCATAGAAGAGATGCTGAGAAATGAATTGCTAGGCCAAAGGTGAATGAAAAATGTTAACAGTTTTTGATGCATATTACCAAACTGCTTTCCAAAAACCACTACAATTTATAATCCCAGTAGGGTATCAACGCCACATCCGCACCAAATGTAGGAAAATAAATTTGATAGTTTAAAAGCATCTGGTTGGTCCTTGTGAACACAGACTTTTGTGTCCAATAGTTATTATGCATTCATTCCTTTCTCCTTTCCTCTAATAAATATTTATCAAAAGCATTTGTTATGTGCAGGGTACTATGCTAACTTTGAGGTTACAGCAAGGTTCTCACGGAGCTTACATTCAAACCAGTAACGCAGACAAATAGGTTATCAAAATTTAGGGTGACAGAAAAAAGTAAGAGTACTGTGGGGGCACGCTGAGGGGAATGGGCAGAAAGAAGACCAAGAAAATGGGATGTGTCACAAAACCCGGGATGGCGGGAGACAGATCTTGGGAAGACATTGGTAGCTAAAGGATATTTAGGCTATACTGGATTTTTTCCATTTTTTTTTTTCCCAAGTATTGAGCCCAAGGAGGAAAGTGAGATGATATGGCTCTAATGAGTCTGATATAATCCAATAAGGATTTCTTTTCTTTGGATTTTCTGAAACTATATCCACAATTTTATACAAAATGGCTAATACAATCTGGGCATTATTATATACAGCTGTTTGATTAAAATTTTTTGGACAATCAATGAAATACTCTGCTAACTTCTACTGAGAGACAATATAATAAGCCTTTAATGATATAAAAATCAGAATTACATCTGCATAAGAAACTGATGATAGGTTTATCAATTCACTGTAATGCCTCTAAAATTATCTTGGTTAACAAACTGACTATAGTTCTAAAATGAGTCTTTCTAATAATGACAACTTAGCCAAAATGCTTTAACATACTTACTTTGACTGATTTACATCAATAAGAGAACCTATTTTTGATGTGGTAAAAGATATGTGCTCATCTCCAATGACAATTTCAAGCTCCTAAAAAAAAACAGCACAAAAATGTAGTTAATGCAAAAATCTACCCCAGAGATATCTGTATTCTTGCTACAAATGGATCCCAACTCTAGCTGTAAGTTTTCTAGCAGTCAATGGAGGGAGATGAGAAAAAAAAAAAAAACTTGGTTTATTAGATACAAACTATATATTTAACATAAAAACTTAAACTGCTCATGAGCACTACCCCCAAGTTTAGGAACAACAAAGAATTGCTTATCAGAGATATAAAGAAGACACTATGAAACAAAATGACAAAGAAATGTTTCTTACAATGTTAGTAAAAACTAAAGACATCACTTTGAAGCACATATTGTAAAAATGATAGGAATATAAGACCATTTTTAACATGATAAATACACAAGTTTCCTTTCTGGAAGATTCTACAAATAAAATATGTAACAGTAATAACCAACACCACTTTAGCACCTACTGTATGTCAGGTCCTAGTACTAGGGACTTTACACTCTCTATAATCTTGAAAATAACCTTATTAACCTATTTTACAAATGTGCAATCCAAAACTCATAAAGCAGAGGAAAACACTTGAATTTAATAACACTAATAAGTAATAGTACTTATATTTGATCTCAAGAATGAAAGACTCAAAACTAATACTCTGTAAAATAAGTAAAATTAAGAACTAGTAAAACAAATACAACATACTGTAGATGTTCCTGTTGTGCTGTAATTACTGTATAGATTTTTCTCTATATTATCTGTAGGCCTAAAACCAGTAATGAAAAGACTCTACCTGCAATGAATTTTCAAGTTAACAGACACTATTGAATACAGTCCTAGCTATTTATTTAACCAGAAGGCCTAATTATGCAGTTTAACAACACACACCAAATGGAGAATTAACTAAGATGCTCTAACAGCCATAAAACCTTTGACTTGATACAAAAGGCTATTTCTGAAGCATGCCTACTCCTCCCCACTAACCAAAACCCAGGAACACATCCTTAAGCGAGTAGATAAAATACTAGGCTCTCCCTGAGTCTAAATGATATAAAAGGTTAGCTGCTGTGGTCTAATTTTTAGTACGCATGCATATATGCATAAAACAAACTGAGGCCTAAATTTACTTTTTAAAAGGGATATAATGCTTAGAATAAATACTGTTAACTATTACCTTTGTTTTCCTAAATAATGTTTCTTTAAACAGAAGAGTTAAGTTACTCCTACAGAATGTCAGCATCTGTTATATTTCTCCACATTTTCTTCTAGTCAAAGAAGGTGATACAAAGTACAATCCTCAGGAATATACAAAAGTGAAATTAAATGTTTCTTCCTTCCAGGGGTTGTATCTCATTTCTCCAAGTGTTGAAAAGACCCAATTCAGAAACCAAACTTTCTTTCTACAGAAAGAAATTAGGCCTTCAGAGTTCTTCAGAAGCATTTTGAGAAACATCAATTACTCTGAAGGAATACGAGAGGCAAATGCAATTGTCAGCTGTAACAAAGAAACCACCAATCAAGTCTCTCTCTGGGGTACTGGGATGCAAATAAGAATTGTGAAAGTTATGATTTGGCAAAAGTAAATTTTACATAATCATATTCTTAATAAAAGTGATTAACACACAACAGAAATTTCATAACACTGCACTGTGAAAACATCCTAACATTGTCTGGGGTGACTACAGAGAAGATGTCTAAATTTAGAACTATGCACCGACTCCTTTACTACTAGGAGGTAGTATAGAAAACGGAACTAAGAGAGATAAAATTAAAGAGAATTTACCAGGTGCCTATTGAATGGAAAGCCAAAGAATCAACTTAGACTCATTTAAAATAAACAAGGGAAAACATAACAGTATTATCATTTTTTAATATTTATGCAGTTAAAGAATCACTAAATACAAACCTGTCGGCCAACCCTGTCAGGGGGAGGCCACAAAGCATCATCTTCTTTTGTAATTTCACTGTCATCAATAATTCTCTTCAGTTCTTCCATTACACTCTTGTGCACATAAGCCTAAAAATTAATCATAATAAAATTTGATAATGTCCACTTGTGTCACCCTTCAACTCAGAAGGAAATAAGAGTTACAAACCCTGAATATTCAAATAGAGAAATACTGAAAAATTTCATTGATTCCAAAGGTATAGAATAGAATCATTTATCCTTGTTATATTCCTTTTCTCCATCTCTTGCCCTTTCCTTTAACATATATTTTTTCCCTCTTCTCATCATTAACTGCCTTTGAAAACACTGTATTCTGTCTTTGTAACACTGAGGTCCAAATACCTCCAAGTGGTTAACTTGTGACATCACAAGATCTGTAAGGTGAACAGTAATAAATGCAAGTATACTGAGGCAGGAGAATCGCATAAGCCTAGGAGGCAGAGGCTGCAGTGAGCTGAGATTGCACCACTGCACTCCAGCTTAGGCAACAGAGCGAGACTCTGTCTCAGAATAAATAAATAAATAAATAAATAAATAAATGCAAGTATAGTTCACATCACAGTTAGTTCTCTGAACTTTCTCATCACTATGGATGCAACAATTGTATCTATTCTAAACAGAAACGCCTTTCTATCTATAAATTGGCTTCTTCTTTACAATAGAGCCTTAGATTTATTTTTGTAAATTCAACACACACTTGAAGAAAATGGGCTAAAAAAAAAAAAGAGACATTTGAATACAACTTACCTCTTTTCTGATCATGACATCATTTTTGTAATTGCTGTTGTTGGCATATCTAAGCTTTCCTGTGGGAAGTGGAGAAAAAAATCAATTTATAATAGCAAAAACTGCTAAAAAAAAATTAATGACATTGTACACAATTATGAAGGCAAAAACCATTTTATACTACTATTTTTATTAATATTTCCTCCCTCCTTGTGTAAGATAAATGCTAGACATGTAGACAATAAATATTTGCTGGTTAAGTTTGCTGAAGTTGAAGCTGGCCAAATATTTAAATAGCCCATGCCTATACTACATATTGGGTCATTTTTAAGGCCTGTTTTCTTAAGCTACATCATGAACTAGAAAGAGAATCTGCAAAAGGCACTAACATTCCTTTCAAGTTTGTTTTATGTCCGTATTGGTGCTGCCTTACCCAGAGCATTTAATCTTTAAAACAATCCTAAAAAACAAGTTTTATTTTCTCACCTATTCATAGGAGAGAAAACTAACTTAACCAGGGTCACACAAGATTCAGATCTAAATCTACTTTCTTTCAATACTCATGCTTTCTCCACTACACTAAAATGTTTTCTTTTAATTTTTTTCCTTCAAGTGTATGCATACAATTATAAGGCAGACATTTTAGAATTATGACTAAGAAGCATACAAACGATGCTTTTGGGTCAAAGTTGGTGAGTTTGTCAGCTGGTTTACATTTAATTTTGATCCATCATGATTTTTGTATTCTCTGATGTATACTTCCCCTTATGGCCAATCAGTTGCCCAGACACAGCTATAATGTACTACAGATACTCTAAAATGATAAAAATGTCAGTCTTTGATGGCCGGGCACAGTGGCTCATGCCTGCAATCCCAGCATTTTGGGAGGCTGAGGTGGTTGAATCACCTGATGTCAGCAGTTGAAGACTAGCCTGGCCAACATGGTGAAAAATTAGCTGGATGTGGTGGCCCATGCCTGCAATCCCAGCTACTCGGGAGGCTGAGGCAGGAGAATCCCTTGAACACAGGAGGCTGAGGTTGCAGTGAGCCAGGATCATGCCATTGCACTCCAGCCTGGGCGACGGCGCAAGATTCCAGTCTCAAAAAAGAAAAAAGAAAAAAAGAAAAAGAAAAAGATGCCAGTCTTTAGGACTCATTATTACCAATGGAAGTATGTGGAATAGTGCAGTGGCAGATACATTGATTAGAACCATTGTTCTAGCATAAAATTTCCCTGATAATATTCAGGTACTTAATTTATGTGACCTGCTAAAAGGGATAGGGATAAGGATGATGTTGTTCACAGCCAGGGGAACTGAAAATAATATTATATAAAGAAAGATCAATTCAGGTAAATTTAGCTGAATTTATGGGAAGAGAAAGGTTGAATACAGCGATTAAGGTTTCTAAATAATTGCAGGGCTGGCTGGCTGCAGTGGCTCATGCGTGTAATCCCAGGGCTCTGGGCGGCTGAATCACTTGACCTCAGGAGTTTGAGGCCAGCCTGGGCAACATGGGAAAATCTGTCTCTACCAAAAAAAAGAAAAAGAAGAGCCGGGAGAGGTGTCGGGGGCCTTATTACCAGCAACTCGGGAGGCTGAAGTGGGAGGATCATTTGGGCTGGAGATGCAGAGGTTGTAGTGAGCTGAGATTGTGCCACTGCACTCAGATCGGAGTGACAGAATGAGACCCTGTATCAAAAAAAATAGTAACTGCAGGACTGTAGTTAACGTGAGTCCCGTCTGAAGTGCTTGATACTCTTCTTTCCTAATATACACTCCTCCTGTAATTTTTTATTCTTGCTCTCACAGAACATTGTCCAAAGCATGCATATAGGACTTAATATGCATATTGCTTTATAGTTAAACGTTTGTGTCTCCCAAGACAAATCTCTTTGAGTTAAATTTAAGTCTTACTATTGTACCTTCACATTTTATATTTGCTTGTTGCCCAGCACAAAATGTGCATTCATAAAAAACCAAAAAATATGTTTCCAAATGAACTTTCTTGTTGCAGGTAGGCAAGATCAATATAACATTCTCCAAGGATAGTGCTGTCAGAAAACACAAATTGTTGCACGCTACATGGGTAGAAGTTTCACCTGGTCCTCGGCTCATTCTGCTCTGGAAGTCTGTTTTTTTTTTTTTTTCTCTCAAAAGCCAAGTCTCTCATTTCCAGACTCATCTCAAGAGTGTCGTCATCTAGGAAGATTTTCCTGACTCCCTCCTGTGGAACTTTGCCTCTCCCCTCTTTTTTGATACTCTATATACATGCTGTGGTGAATTATACTTAAGCATCTAAAACATATTATTATTCTCATTTGTTAACACGTCGGGCTCCTCCCCTTCAAAGAACACACACAGCCTGAATGAACAAAATGTACTGGTCGCAAGATTTTATTCATCCATTGGACCACCAATGGTGGGGGTGTTTTCAAAAAGATGCTAGCATTTTTAAATAGGGCGACAATCTCCAGAGCCTTTAAAGTCCCTTCTGGTGCACTGTTACAAAATTATGATTACTGTAGGTTCAACATTTCCGTTTGTGACAGGATTAACTTTAATTTATAGCAATTCTCTTTCCTTTATAAAACCAACTTGGGCCTCCTATATTCTTAAGCTCCTGTTTCCTTCGGGGAAAGCAGTGGCCTCCGCCCCCTGCACACTCTCAAGCCTACCGAAGCTCGGCTCACCCCACACCACCGGCCTCCCCTCGCCTCCTCCACGGACTCTAGGTCTCGCTCCCCTTTCCTAGCACCGCGTGCCGTGGGCCTCTTCTCACCGTCCGGCCGAAATTCGAACTCCAGAAACTCGTGCCCAAACTTGCCCTTGTGCCCTACGTAGTAGCGCAGGTAGAAATCGCTAGCCATAGACATTTTTGTCCCCGGTAAGCCCGCCGAAAACCGAGACAACGTGTCGCGCGGCGCCCGGCAGTGACGTCACGCGCGGAATACGTGCGTCACCACAGGCGCTGCTTTTCTTCAATCCGTGCAGCCCTGCCGAAAAGCATGACGGCCTGGTCTCGCTTGAGAGGCTGGAGGCACCGAAGGGACCGTCGCAGCGACGTGACTTACGCTTTACGAGGATTGGAAGCACATTATTTTCAAAATAAAGATTACAGTATATTAGCAAAAGCTAGAAATCTGAGCATATGATAGTCTTTTTTATGGATTTAGAGCTAAGGTTTGCAAGTCGCTTTTACTTTCCTGGTCTCCCAATCTGGCATCTGTGAGGTGGGTGTGGCTTCATGCGCGTCTAACTGTGAGCTAAATAAAGATAAAGCTTAGAATCGAAATAGCAGACTGGGAGAATAAACCGTTTTTCTTGGTTTCTAACAGGGTGCTTTCCCCTTTGAATAATGATTGGTAGTTACCTGAGAACTACAAGCCTATAATAGTAGAGACAAAGTCGAAGAAATCTATCACACGAAAGAGCTGAAGTCTTACACACACAGACACACACACGCACACACTGAAAAACCCTGACAGTTATAACAGCTATAAGCCTATAATAATAGAGACAAAGTCAAAGGAATCCATCATACGGAAGAGCTGAAGTCTTAAAACACACACACTGAAAAATCCTGACAGTCGCCGTGCTTTTAACAGCAGAACTTTTAAGGTTCTTCATTCATTCAGTAAGGGTTAACTTTTAGTAGCCTGTGGAGTTTTGGCAATTTGATTTAAGGTATAATAAGGATATTTAGCCCACGTTTCTCGCCAAGTACAATTAAATTGGAGGGATGAACGAATGCTCCACTGTAGGGTAGGTTTGAAAGAAAGGAAAAGACTAAAGTCTGCTTTTCAAATATGATTGATCACCCTTTTGCTACCAACACACAGAGTAATCCTGTCTGTCAGTTGACAACCTTCAATGGAATTTGGTAAAAAGTGGTAATGAGAAGACCTGGGATTCAATCCCAACACAGCTACCTAACCTTGGGCAGGTCACTATCTCTAAACCTGTTTGTTCATCAGTCTCAGGCATATAGAGCAGTCTACTTGGTCAAATTCACGGAATTCTTGAGAGATCAAATGAGAATAATATGTAAAATAAGCTTTAAATTTTATAAAACAGCTTTAACAAACATTTCCTATGTGACAAAAAGTTTGAAACTAGAAATAAGCCATTTGCACTGGTAGTCTAGAAAAGAAAGCAAATATGTAGGGCAAATATCAGCACAAGGGAGCAATTGCTAATTGCTCTAAATATATTTCAGATAATTAAGAATATATGTAGCTGGGCACGTTGGCGCATGCCTATAATCCCAGCACTTTGGGAGGCCGAGGCAGGCTGATCACCCGAGGTCAGGAGTTCAAGACCAGAAACACTGTCTCTACTAAAAACACAAAAATTAGCTGGTGTAGTGGCACACGCTGGTAATCCTAGCTACTCAGGAGGCTGAGGCAGGATAATCACTTCAACCCAGGAATCAGAGGTTGCAGTGAGCCGAGATCATGCCATTGTACTCCAGCCTGGGTGACAAGAGTGAAACTTCGTCTCGAAATAAAATAAAAGGAATATATGTAAAACGTGCTGGTAATACAGCAGAGGAAGCAAATGCATTCTATTGCAGAGTAGGGAAATTTGAAAAATAGAAGACTTGTCAACAGAGATATTTGAATTGGACCTTGAGAAGTAAGTTCTGTGTATGTTTAGTGGTATGAAAAAGCATTCCCAGCAGAGAATGACCTGAGCAAAGACAGTGGTATGAAAATGCATGTTTTGGGAATGCCAAGAAATTTGGTATAGCTAGAGCATAAGGTTCGAGTAGAATGACTAAAAAGGCAGATTGGGCCAAGTTACCTTGAGTCCATATTAGCAGTTATATAACTATTAATATAGAAAAGTGAATCAATCCCTACAACAGGTCACCATTTTGGAAAATACATAAGAAACAGGAAGCACTATGCTTTCTCACTAGGGTGACAAGCTATTCCAGTTTGACCAGGACTGTGGAGTTTACTGGGACATGGGACTTTCCAAACCTGGAAACACCCAGGAAAACTGAGATAAGTTGGTCACCACACTTACCACAAGAAAAATTCACAGAAATTTGAGCACTGTATTCCATAGTATCTCTGGAAATATCAGCTGTGATCCATTTTGTTGAATTATATGGAAAGCCTCATTGAATATCTTAGATTCCCACATGTGCCAAAGCATCTTCATATTTACGTAAATACAACTATGGATACCAGAATGTGTAACTATGTCAGTAGAGGTTATGGAATGCACAAAGCTTTAAGATCTTTGTTAAGTGGGCCAGTTACTGTCTTGATTTCCAAAAAAGACTTACGGGTTCAAGACTATCTAATCCTACTGTTAGTAAGATAAAATATGAAACTATATTTACTTAACTCTTCATATTTTAGGCCCAAATAAGTGACAAAGCATTTGTGTTTTCTGGTATTCTTGGATGTACACAACAGTGATGTGGAAATATTCTTTGGTATGGCTGCTGAGCACTTGAAATGTGACTAGTGTGACTTCAAACTGAATTCTTAATTTTGACTAATTTACATTAACATTTGAATAACCACATGTGACTAGAAGCTACTGTGTTGGTCAGCACAGTTATATAAGAATTTTTCTCATACACTTTTAGTTGGGCTAGAAATAGCAAAAAAAAAAAAAAATTGTGAACATTTCTCAAATCAGTTGTTGTAGACTCCAAATTAAGACATACTTACTGATATCAACACAGTTTACTTATGAAAATAAATGCTTGAATTGCTTAAGTGAAGCCAAAATACTATTTCCACCTTTGCTAACACAGTGGAAAATTTCAAAACACAAAGTGAAGTAGGTAAGAAATAAACGTTTTATTTCCAATTCCCACTGAAATTAAGACTTAATGATTTATTCAAATACACAATATTCATTGATAAAATAATGATCTGCCACTAGAGTTTCTAACTTTATTTCTTTCAGCTTCATGGTGATTAATCAAATCAGCGATGGTTCTTTCTTATACTTGCTAATTTAATTTTTAAAATATTCTGCTGATTTTCCCTATATCTAAAATTCTTTCTTCCTTTGATCTTTTATGCCCTCTCTGTTCTCTTACCTGTTTTTGCTTTTTTGCCTCTCTGTTTAAAATGATCAAATCATTCTGACTTCCAATTTTCAGAAACTTTTTCCATCTTTATTGTGATAAGCACTGGATATAAGAGTCTCATGTTTTAGATTTATTTTATTAGTAATGTTTGATTCATTTTGATTTTGTATTTACACAACAAAAGATGGGGCTATCTCATTCATTTATTAATAATGGATCAGAGTAGTAAGTCAAGAATAAGTGCATAATGTGGTTTAAATTTTTAAAAATATTCAGAATGAGGTAGCCTATTTTAATTTTTAATTCATCCACCCACCTTGCTTTTCTCTTTTCCATAATAGACTTCCCTGTGGATTTAGCCTTATCTGTCTTTTTATCGCTCAGAGGTATTACTTTTTAAATAAGAGAATCACTATCATGCAAAAACACCAAATTTTCCACACCATTCTTTATCACATATGTTCATATGTGAGCACTTGGAGCTATTTCTAGATTATCATGACATGGTATATTTAATTCCATTATTCAATCTAAAATTTTTTCCAGCATATGACAATATTATATGCTTCAAACACATAGCATAATCGCGAACTCTTTTGCGCAAAACAAGTAAACACAGTGCTAACTTAAGGGTAATAGTCGTCTTCCACTGTATTTGCTACTTGTTTATTTATTTCAATGAGCATGTCAAAGCAAAATTTAAAAAAAAATATTGCAACAAAGTTAAGATTAAGAAAACTCTATCCACTAACTTACTTTTTTTGTTTTAAAATGTTAAAAAAAAAAAGCCACCACTATTATTTAATTTTAATAACAGAATACCTAAATCTGTCATGAAAATCATACTGTTTTCCATGAGCATAATTTGAGAACTACTGGTTCAGACTATTCTATTTTAAATGATATCGCCAAGTTTCCCTTAGACACTGTATCTAGGTGGGTGTTTGCTTTGTTCCTAAGTGCTGGAATTTTTTTTTTTTAACAATAAAGCATAGATTGGAAAAACAAGACTGGAGAGAAGGCAATCAAAACAATACAACAAAATCTATCTACAGTCAACCTGATTAAATGATAAATATTTTGTTTCTCTTTTCATTCATTAGTTTGGAAACACCATTTGGCTGAAAGGTCAAAGATACCAGAAATATCATCCTCCTTTTGGAAGAAACCTGGCCAAGTGAGAGAAAGACCCAGTTTTCTTAGAGTAAAAATTACTGTATCCAGCTTTCCAGGCTAGAAAAACAAATAAAATTGGGGATAAAAAATTTAAATGTCAATTGTCTGCTTCTTTCCCTCCTACTGAAACAAATATGAGAACGCAAAAAAGCAACCTCCCATTTCACTGTGTGCCACCTTCCCTTAACTCACCGTGCTGCAGCCCATATGTTTCCTCGCAGTTCCTTGCCTCAGGATTCACACACACGTGTCATCCCCCTGGGAGGCGCTTCTGATTCGGCCTGGGTTACTTACCCATCCCTAAGTTCTCAGTTTAGTCCATTTCTTTTCAGGGACGTATTCCTTTTAAACTCCGTTCTACTATCATGTGCTTTTTCTTCATAGCACTTAACACTTTGTAATTAACGGATACCCACACAAAAAAATGTATAACGTGTCTCACCTTCTAGAGTGTAATCAAAAGCTCCCTGTTTCTTTTATCCTACACCTAGCCAAGTGTCTAGCACAGCAAGCCTTAACACTCAATATTTTTAAGTGGTCAGATAAATAAGGAAATACTTTGTAATTTTGACTTAAGCGAGAGGCAACAATGGGATTCCATAGGACTTTGTCATTTTGTGTGAACCCACTTTTCCGCCCTTTTCTCTCTTGCAACTGACTACCCATTTAAATCCTGACTAGTCATTGTGGTATTCTTTCAGAGGTCAGAATCATTATTCTTTTAGCTGACTTATCACGATTCCATCAGGATTCCAACTTCTACAACATTTTTGGCTGCCAGTCCTCTTTCTTAACGGCAGCCTTAGATGTTCCTTCCAGGGTACCCAAGATGTTCTTTAAAATCACAGACCACCATGTTCAACAGAACTTCCCTCATGATGATGTTTTCAATATTTTGAAATAGTATGAGTTCACTATCATCATCCAAAAGCATGCAAAAATGATGACTTCATCATTGCACGTGTATAATATTAATACTTGTGCCATACTTTAGGCATGTCCTGCCTTGCAGTGTTCCAGACTGAGGTTCTCTTCTTGGCCACAGTAGATTTTAAATGAAAAAATACCTTTATGAAAGGGCCTGGGTTAGGAAGGGCAAAAGAAAAGGAGAAACACATTTATTGAGCACATATGTGCCAGATACTGTACAAATGCATACTCAATATTCAGACCAACCTTGCACATTAAGAATCCCTTTTCATTTTTCTATTGACATTAACTTCCATTTATTTTATCCTCCCCACGACAGAGATTTTTAACAGTTGTAAACCAGAAAAACATATTTCCATTCAATAAATATTAATTTAATAAAATAAGTTTCACAGTATATCAATGGATGATTGAAAATTAGAAGCTACTATCCTTCCATATAAGATGACAGTCTTTTCTAGCCCTTGTTAAAGACTGGGCTGCTGAGCCTTCTTGCTTAGTTTCTATATTCCCTATTGACTGTGCACACACACATGCACACACAGCATTTTTATCACTGTTCTAACATTGACTCTCTAGGCTTAATCTCCTTAGTCTAATCGGAGCTAGGAAGCTAGTTCAATGAACAATACATGTTGAATGTTCTCAATCATGAAATGACCCCTCCACCTTCTAATTAAAAGTTACTAACAAACAGAGTTTATGTGTCTTAGATAAAAGGGGACCATCTTTGTTTTATCTATACTGAAGGGGAAACTCAGAGGTTTTCCATTATAGTTCTCTTGCAACCCTATAGGTAGGAATCAGGACTGAAAGATCAGGTGTCCTACCACCTTTTCTCTGAAGGAGGTGTTGGTCCACATCTGTAATCCTGAGCAAGTAGAACCTTAAATTTCCTTTCCCTTCAACTCTTTTATTGGATTTCTATTCCTTCATTTCATTCCAAATTTTCTGGACCTTGTAATCATCTAGATAAAAATGTGGTTCCAGAGAAAACTAGCCTAGGATGGGAGGGATGAGCTTATTTATGTCATGCCCCAACAAATACTGCAGAATTCTAAAACCTCCTTTGCGCACATCCACCACTTCTACCCAGTGTTTCTAGGACTGAGACAGCAGAAGCGAGACCGATAATGTGTCTCAGCTCAGGGTGTATGGTGCGTAGAGTCTCATCCAGCGTCATTTCAGATTTCCAGAGAAATGTGGAAAGGAAGATGAAGAATCCATGTTCCATGTCTCCCTCTGTGTCCCCTGGAAACACTATTCTCTGTTCTTAGATGAATTGAGTCCAAGAACATATAATCATGCATAAACGTTTCTTGTCTGGGACTCTTCAAAGGATGCTATAATTGTAGAAGAGGCTCTCCACTCTGATGCCAGCCACAGCTGCATACAGTTCAGGTACCACCAACTCTGGTACTTGTAACACAGTCTTGTCATCTGCAGTTCTAATGGCAGCTTCTAGGCGCAAGCGTAGCTCTCTAGGTGAGGGGCGGCCAGCCTCATGCCAGCGCCAGCAGGACTTCATAATACTATACCTGAGAGGGAAACAAGAGAAATTGACTTCCTTGACAAGGCAAATGTATGGTGAGCCTGTCTCCTCTCCTCACAAACCTTAACCAAAAACTCTGCAATTCTTTGATTTTCTTCTGTTTGCCCTGTTACTCGTATTCTTCCCAAAGCGTGCTACTGCTTCTCAATCTTTTTTTTTTTTTAAAGACTACAGCACCTGGTATTCCCAGGCGGTCTCCCATCCAAGTACTAACCAGGCCCAACTCTGCTTTCTCAACCTTTTTATATCAAGTCCCTGATTATCACTTTCTCAACAAGTGCTCTTGAATGATAGGAATAACTTAATATTTTCCAAACTAGAGTATGGCAGGGCAGTTTTATCACTAGACGCTGTTTGCTGTACACTGTAAGCAATGCGCAATAAAGTAACAGGGCTGGGTGGAACAGAACACATGTCGTTTTTACTCTGATATGAGACAGAGCTTTTAATCATTGATACTGCTGCATACTTTAGGTTGATTTTCAGGTTTCAGATATCTCCTCATCTAATTCTTTTATGCTTGTGCCTTGAATCTGCTGCTAGAACTGCAGATGACAAACCTGGATGACAAGTCCCAGAGGTCGTGGTACCAGGTCAGGTTAGGTGTCTTTTCCAGTATCAAGAACAGCCTTTTACACACAGAAATGTTTGTCATCAATTCCTTTCTATTGTACCTAGCTTCGTTACTATACTCAGTGTGTGTGTGTGTATACTTATATATAGTTAAGATATTTAAACTTAATCTGCTCAATACAGCAATTGTTTATCATAAGGAAAACCAAGCACTGTAAATTTACCTATTCAATGATGAAAGCTTACAAAATAGCAACAATTCTAATAGAAATATTAATATATTCTCTACTGCCTTTTTAATAGACAATTTAACCTTTTCTTACATTCTACAGCAGTTCCCTTTTCAACTTCATTGGTAATAACAGTCTGTGTAATTTTTAATTTTTCCATTTCCTGCCTCTAGGTTGGTTCATTAACTGTCTCTATCTGCTGACAACAGTGGATCCTCCTTTTGCCTTTCTAATTTCTTCTTATCTCCCCTTCTTTTGGTTGGCTTTTATCACACTGAAAGCTGGAAGAACAGAGAGACAGTCATTTAAAAGTTAAATACTAAATAAGAACTGGCGCACTCTGAATGAATAACTCTAGTGCAATGGATTTTATGACAGCTGTCTGAACTGCGGCTGGTAGAAAACTGACATTTAGACTAAACACAACTGTACTTGCAATGGGTTTCGTTTACCTGCTACCTATTTTAGAAGCTTCCCATGGAACTAAACTATAATAAAATTAGGTTCCTAATAATATAGTTCTCAGTGTGTGGTGGGGGTATATGTGTGAGTGTGTGTGCGTGTGTTTGTGTATGTATATGTATATATAATATATATATATTACACATAATATATGAGATAGAAGTATTTTACTGTGTGGGTTTGGTTAAAAGCTATACACTGGTGCATATAGACAGGTGAGAATCATCTGAGCACTTTGAAAAGGGCACAATTGATAGAGGGCCAAACAATATTTGGAATGAAAGAAGAGTGGGTCTTTAAAAACCACTTACATGGTATGTGTGCAGCTGCTGGGTCTCTTCATGATATTCCTTCTTTGGAGATGCTGTAGGATGCTGGTAGGAGGGACTTCAGGATACGGTGGTGCCCCTGTCATTATGAAAATAAAGAGAACTTTAGGGTCCTTTAAAATGTGAACTGTAACTGACACTATTCTTCATCCACTTGGGTTGGTTGCTTGCAAAAGATATAGCCATAGGAAAAATATTAGATACAATTCAGTTGCTCCCTGGTGATCAAATATGGACATAATTTAGTGAATTGGGAGGAAAGGTGTTTTGGAGAAAAAAACCCCGGGTAAATTAGGAGAATTTTGACCATCTAAGAAAGTAATCAAATAAGGCTGGGCGCAGGGGCTCACACCTGTAAGTAATCCCAGCACTTCGGAAGGCCAAGGTGGGCGGATCACAAGGTCAGGAGTTCAAGACCAGCTTGGCCAATATGATGAAATTATGCCTCTACTAAAAATACAAAAGTTAGCTGGATGTGACGGGCGCCTATAGTACTAGCTACTTGGGAGGCTGAGGCAGGAGAATCACTTGAACCAGGAGGTGGAGGTTGCAGTGAGCTGAGATCATGCCACTGCACTCCAGCCTGGACTATAGAGCGAGACTTCATCTCAAAAAAAAAAAAAAAAAAAAAAAGGAAAGTAATCAAATAAGACATAAGATCAAACAAAGTAAGACATAAGATCTGTCCTCTACTCCCCATACACGGGAAAGTGTGCAGTTTCTCAATCAAATGAATTAGTAAGTCTGAAGTAAACATTTTTATGTTTATGCAAGACCACTCTGGGAATTATCCTTGCGATTTGAAAACTTCCCTTGGATTTGGTAATATTTTGGAGTAAATAAAGAAACAGAAAGAGAGCAAAAGAAAGGCCAAAGAAGGACAGGGAAGAAGAGAGTGGGGTAAGGAGAAAATAATCACTTTATATGACTAGCCCAGGAATCAGGCTTAGGCGACATGTCAGTCCATTTTAATAGCTTCAGAGCTGTACTGAAACCCTTTCTGAAAGCATACATCATCATCCACCCCCTAAATAAACAAGCTTGCATATTTGCATACAGGTACAAACTATTTGGGGGCTCATCCTTACCTAGAGTCACCATCTCATAGAGCAGGATCCCAAAAGACCATCTGTAAAAGAAACAAAGCCATCTACTTAATTTCTATTTCTGCTTTTTCTAAAGAGAGATTATTTAATAGTCAGAAGCCTTTAGTAAGAGCCCCATAAAAAAGGCAATGAAGGAGAATCAAGGATGAGTGTTTGAAAAACAAAACTGCCATTAGAAAGCATTTCTGCTCAATTTCTGTAGATTCAAATCTTTTAGGATTGACGCTACATCTCTATTTTCCTGTAGTTTAAATTAATAGATGTTTATTATTATTTGCCAGTGTGAGTGCCTGTAATCACACAAGCACATTTACCTAAAGAAAGCTCCCTCTGCATCTTTTTCTTCCTTTCCATCCCTCTCTGCTGAAATTCTAGCCTTTATTCTTAGAGCAAAGCCAAGCAAATTTCATCATTTAGTCAATATTTTCTTAGTAGATTTAATTGCCCAAACCTAGGAAAAATATTAACAGAGCAAGCTTTATACATATTTGGAATAGGTATTTGCCTAAGCAGTATGACTTCAGAGATATACAGTTCACTATTCTATAATATCATTGTTAAATGATTAATATTTTACAGTTAAGTTTATTACCCCCAGACGTCCATTGAAAAGCAGATGTCAATGAAGCAGCAATGGAAATCTCATAACTGACTCATCATATTAATTGATATTCTAAATTTCCTCTGCTGTTCATGACATCGATGGCAAGTAGAATATTCTATATTACATCTAGGTACTTCTCCAAGCAATTGAGTTATATGGCTACCAAAAGTCAAATGTGATTCTTTATGATCCTGTTAATGCCAATTTTACATGTAATTGTAATTATATGGAGTTATGTAATCAATTAAATATTTTATATACTGATTAAATGCAAAAAAACGTTACCTTCCTTCCAACTTAGTTGAACGTTTTGAAAATTATTTATAAAAATAAACTGCTAAAAATAAAATGTTACCAAATTGTGTGAGGGAGACAAATGCAGAAAATTGGGAAAAGTAGCATTAAAACTCTGCAAACAATTTCACAATTATTTTCAAGTTTCTCACTCTACTTAAAATCATCCTGAACTGGAACTCAAAAAGAAATCATTACAGATACTATTTACACTAAAAAAACAACATATAACTTCATTTGGGAGACTCATCCTCATAAAAAGAAACCTTGCCCCTCCTTCAAAAAAACCATATAGATGAATGTATATTTATAAGTTTTATGTTAAAATAAGTTATTGAAGGTATGTATATTTCTTTTTATTTTAATAATTTATGGTTTAACTGGCCTTTTGGTTAAGCGGACCTACCTCCTTCAGATAAAAGAGACTTTACTAGATGAATTCCTTAGATATTGATGTGAATAATCTTTTCACTTTTTTTTTTTTTCAAATTAAGACTGGTAATCTAACGCAGAAGAAATACTTGAGGCTGGGCATGGTGGCTTATGCCTGGAATCCCAGAACTTTGGGAGGCCAAAGTGAAAGGATAACTTGTGCCCAGAAGTTCTAGACCAGCCTGAGCAGCAGAGTGAGACCTTGTCTCTATCAAGAAAAAAAAAAAAAAAAATAGCCAAGTGTGGTGGTGCATGCCTGTAGTCGTAGCTTCTAGGGAGGCAGAGGTAGGAAGATAGCTTGAGCCCAGGAGGTGGAGGCTGCAGTGAGCTGTGATCATGCCACTGCACTTCAGCCTGGGCAACATAGTGAGATCTTGTCTTAAGAAAAGAAAAGAGAAGAAAAGAAAAGGAAAGAAAAGAAAAGAAGTAGTTGAAAAGGTACCAAAAAGAGTTGCAGACAGATGACAAACATGAACTCTGTCACATAACATTTCTGCTTGATAGGGTATGTTTAATTTCTAAGTAGAGATTTTATTTGTAGACATAATTGGCAACAGATCAAATCATGTTCAGGGAGAACACCCAAGTCACAAAGAAAGTAAACTCAGAGTCTAGGAATAAACCTTACACATCTGCTTTGATGCCAGCAGGTCTTAGGAGAAGCCGTTCTGGGGCAAGCCACTTGAGAGGTATGGTTTGAGAAGAGATGGCCCCTCGGGTATAAACTTCATAAGCCAGGCCCAATCCACAGAGCTTAGCAGTGAGATCACTTTGGATCAAGATATTCCTGGCTGCCACATCCCCATGGAACAAGTGCTTATCCTGCAGGAATTCCTATCAGTATAAAATCAAATATGATCAGTTGTCTGAGGTCACAGCTTGGGTCACAAACAAGGAGAGGCAGTTCTAGGAATCTTCAAAAACACAAAGACGTTTTCTACTCTGAACAAATCTCACTAATAATGGTATGTCACTTCCAAAGCATGCTAATGAATCACACGTTTCTGCATTGTGTTTAAGATTACCAAATTGAGCAAATAATTCAAATGACATTAATACTGGATTTTGAAAATATAATTACCGACTCTGTCAAACACTGACCCCTGCTTGCTTTTCCTTTCCCAGCTAGACACTGGAGAAGAGAGTAGATTCCAAATTTCTATCAGTAGGCCCGAAAACAATGTAATACATACCAAAACTGAGTGTGATTTTATATATATAATATACATACACACACACACACACACACACACACATATATATATAATTTTTCCCTAAAATAACTGCATGAGTTGAATTAGGAAATTCTCTTTTAGATAAATCTAAATGATTACAAAAGGCCACAGGGTTATTAAGTGGTAGTGACCGGAACCAGGTATTATAATTCATAGGATGTACTATACAAACTCTACTAAAAATTCTCAAGTCAGTCTGCATATTGGAATTGCCTGAGAGTTTTTTAAACATAAGATTTTCACCCCAGATTTGCTAAACCAAAATGTAGGAAGAAAGACCTGGTAACCTATATTTTTAAGAAATATCCAATTCTAGTACAGTCAACAAAGCATTGGAGAGCCACGGCACCCTGTGATAGCGGATGTATGTTGTCATTTCCTCTGGTATCAAACGATTTAAGGCTTAAGGAGAAGTTGCAAAGCTATACATGACTGAAGATCTGGAGATTGAGGGCTGTGATCACTAAAGAAGGATGGTACAGAAAATTAAAAGGTAAAGGTGATCATTTCCAATCATTGATGACAGAGAAAAGTAGCAGGTCTCTGTGTCTGGTGAAGCTTTAAAATAAGAAACAATACTGCCATGATAAGAATTAAAGAATGTAACTGACTTTGAGGTTGTTAAGGCAATTTTGCAGTACGATATTGCCTTGTAACAGGTAGCACAGGGACCCGATGAATGCACCAATTTGAACAACTCATCCCTGTGCGGCACCTCCGCAATTGCGGTTCTGAGTCCAGGGTAGGCTGTATCCTGACACCTTTAATCAAGGGAACATACCCACCAGGCCACCCAAACACCATAGACAATATTCATATATATGCTGTGTACTCTCCCTTGTCCCACGGGTGCTTCAACCATAACTATGACTCTTTACGCACCTTAATTTTTTTTCTAACCTTTTCCTGATTCCACTTAGATCCCTGGCATATTTCACACCTTGAGGTAGCAAGATACAACAAATTCTTAAAACAGTAGCTTCACAGAGCCCTGATTTTCCGTAGAAAATGTTAATTTTAAACACAGCTATTTAAATAGTTTCACAGAAATAGGCATACAAACTTCCTGGGTAATTCTTGTAAAGGTAAATTTTTTATCTTAAACATCTTGAACCCTGAGTTCTTTCTCTTACCTCTTTATTTAAGTTGGTTTAAAATAAAGGAACGATCCAGCTGTTGCTCTTCTCATTGCTCCTCTTTCACTTGTTCCTTAATCATTTTATAATTATATGTACAGCCTATCACATTCAGTATCAAAGCAAGTCTCCAAGCACACATGCTCTGAACTAGTGTTTCTTGTTTTTCAGGTGTAAAATTGCATACTTCCTTCTAGTTCTGCAGCCTTTCACCCATTCAGTTTCTCTTTCCATATCTTCTCCCTACTCGCTTCCCTATCTCTCTCTTTTACATCTATTATTAGTACATACGGGGATGTAAGAGTATCAGGTAAATGGGCGCATACCTCTGGGCCCTGGCTGTTGACTTTTCAGGCTGAAAAGTATTTAAAATCCTTCCTGTTCCTTGTATCAACCCCAAGTTAACTACTTTCTTCCTGAAATTACCAATAGTGTAGTAAACTGTCTAGATAAATCCCCAAAGAAGGGACTAAAAACAATTTATTCATGCTCTAATTTCTATCTGCTTTTCTTTGAAACATAGACACTACTTGAGAATATGAATATGAGAAAGATGGCATCAAAAACAAGGCTAACAAGGAAATGTCACACCATCAGTTGTCATTTTGCCCCATCTTACCAGAGCCAAAAGGACCTGCTTTCCGATGTGATATACTTGTTTTTCTGTGAGATCATAGAGAATACCATCCATGGTCATCACATCCTAAAGAGACAGGGGAAAAAAAACCATTACATTGAAATGGCCCGAACAGATTTGGAAAAGAAATAAAGTTGGGCAGAGATACTCTGAAATGCAGTTATCAAAGCTTAGAAAATATAAGAATTAATGTTCAAAGTGAGGCTGACGTGGGGATAGGCAGATAAATAAAATGATCCATTGGACTGGAAAAACAATGACAGACATAGATGAATAGCAGGTAAGTAAGACAAGTATAAATAGACTATCCACTGAACAAAGTGGCAATTTTGCCAGGCGCGGTGGCTCACGCCTGTAATCCCAGCACTTTGGGGGGCTGAGGTGGGTGGATCACGAGGTCAAGAGATCGAGACCATCCTGGTCAACATGGTGAAACCCCGTCTCTACTAAAAATACAAAAAATTAGCTGGGCATGGTGGTGCGTGCCTGTAGTAATCTCAGCTACTCAGGAGGCTGAGGCAGGAGAATTGCCTGAACCCAGGAGGCGGAGGTTGCAGTGAGCCGAGATCGCACCATTGCACTCCAGCCTGGGCAACAAGAGCGAAACTCCGTCTCAAAAAAAAAAAAAAAAAAAAAAAAAAAAAGCAGCAATTTTTCTGGGGCTCTGTGTGTATGCACATGTGCATATGCACATGGGAGCACACACGTGCTCATGATTAATTTAGTACATTAACTCAATGCATCTTTACTGAATGCCTGAAATGTCCCTCATTGCATGTTAGAAACTTGAAATACAAGCATGAGTAAAATAGCATGGCTGCTGCCTTCTGGAGCTTGTTGTGTGGCAGACGCATGTGAATCAGAATCAAATAATCATACATAAATAAATGGTTACATATCTGTAAGTGCCATAAAGGAAATGTACAAAGTGCCAAGAGAGCATATGATGGTGGGCAGAAGAGAGTGGATTCAGTTGGAGGGACAGGGAAAGTGTTTGATGAAATCTGAAGGATGAGTAGACATTAACTATAAAAAGGACAGAAGGGAGAAGTTTGATGGAGCTAGAAAAATATATAAAGATAATCTGAAATAGAAACACATGGTATTTTTGAAAAATGGAAAGAAGCTAGTGCAGTTAGAGCACAAAACAAGTTTTAGATGAGCGACCTCTTTAAAAAGTTTAAAATGCCTAAATACTTGCACATTGCGCTATTGACAACACTGGGTGGAAGATACCAACAGGGGCCCTTTCCATACATGTTCAGTTGTACAATACTCAGCATATTAACGAGGTTCAATGAGTACTGAACTTGCCCACCAGCAAGCTGAGAAAGTAGGGAAACAGGTAGCAGTTCTAACAGAGGAGTATAGAACAAGGGAAATTTTAAGGAAAGGGACAACCATTTGAGGCTAGAAATTTCTGAACATTTTAATTTTAAAAAACATGAGTTTGAGGTACAAAAGCTTTACCAGCTAAATTTCTCCCTGAGTTTGCCCTACCATACTATGGTGATGTTACAGAATAGAAAACACAGTAACAACAACAAAATTATAACCATTACCAAAAATACTGATGTTGTTATGTAATTATCATTGTAACAGCTGCCATTTTGAGTGCTTACTCTGTACCAATCACTGCTATGTTTTCACACACGTAATTTCTTGTAGTTTTTTTTAATAATAATTATTACTCCCATTTTACTGATTTAGAAGACTCAGGATCAGAAAGGTGACTTTCTCAGTCACATAACTAGCAGGAGGTAGAGCCCAAAGTCCATGCTCTAAACTTACACTGTCCACTCTGTGCTCATTAGTCACATGTGGCTATTTCAACTTACATTATTTAAAATTAAATAAAATTCAAAATTTAGTTTCTCCATCACATCAGCCACATTTCAAGTGTCCAGAAGCCATCTGCGATTAGTGGCTTATATTGGATGGAGCAGTTACAGAACGTTTCTATAATTACAAAAAGTTCTATTAGATGGTGATAATTATTCTGTCGTGTTATTATAATGTCTCTGCATTTTGTCATTTGTCACACTAATTGACATGTGAAAAGCTAATCAAGAAGGTCAAGTCTTAACCTCCTAATACCTCTACCCTACTGCTCACCCGGCGACAGGTCCAGAGAAAGCTGAGCAGGTCTCCGTGGACCACATCCTCCATCACCATATAGAGTGGCAGCTTTTCGGTGCAGCAGCCTTCCAGCTGCACCAGGTTGTTGTGTTTCCCCAGGTATTGATGGAATTGGACTCGCCCCAAGAAATCCTGTACCTCATGGGGCCCAGCTGGTTCTGTAGAGGACGGAAGAGCCAGGCAGTCAGAAGTCAGCGCATCCTCAATGAGTGGGAGTCAGGCACAGGTGGCAACTTAAGGTGATAATTCTTAAGGTCCTACGTGGGAGTGAGTGCAGGCAAAAATAAATACAAAGGGGACCCATTAGAAGATGATGATGCTTAATGTCACTGAACTTTTATCAAAGGTAACAAGGAATCATAATTATTAGAACTGGATAGGCTTTCATCTGCCTAAATATAGAGATAGTCTGTTTGCATTAAAAAGTTATCACTGTCTAGGCCTTTGGATTAATATCCTTGCTTGTCTTATCCTTGTTCTATGTATCCATCATTACTGGCCCGTATCATGCAGAAAAAAGGAAGAGAGAGAGAGAGAGAAAGAAATATAACATCAGCTGGGCTCAGTGGCTCATACCTGTAATCCCAGCACTTTGGGAGGCCAAGGGAAGTGGATCACCTGAGGTCAGGAGTTCGAGATCAGCCTGGCCAATATAGTGAAACCCTGTCTCTACTAATAATACAAAAATTAGCTGGGCATGGTGGCACACGCCTATAATCCCAGCTACTTGGGAGGCTAAGGCAGAAGAATCTCTTAAACCTGGGAGGTGAAGATTGCCATGAGCCCAGATCACACCACTGCACTCCAGCCTGGGTGACAAGAGTGAAACTGTCTCAAAAAAAAAAAAAAAAAAGGAAAGAAATATCGTTATCAGGAAGGGGTATCAAAGAGTAAAGTAAAATGAGGAAACAACCATGGAATCCTAGTCCAAGTAACATTCATTGTGAAAACATCAGTTTTAACAGCCTCAATAGCCAAAGATGAGCCAGGGAACCTAGGATGCAAAGATGTTTCGACATATGCAAATCAATTCTGTGACATACCACAGTAACAGGATAAAGGATAAACATCATGTGATCATTTCGATCAATGCAGAAAAGGCATTTGATAAAATCCAATATCCTTTCATTATAAAAACACTACACAAACTCATGTTATGTAATTATCATTATAACAGCTGCCATTTTGAGTGCTTACTCTGTACCAACCACTGCTATGTTTTCACATACATAATTTCTTGCATTTTTTACAATAATTATTACTCCCATTTTACTGATTTAGAAGCCTCAGGATCAGAAAATTATTATAAAAAATACAAGAAATTATGTATGTGAAAACATAGTAAGTACAGAAGGAAGGTACCTCAACATAATAAAGACTGCGTGAAAACCTACAGCTGACATCTTTCTCATCATAACATTATACTTATTTGGGTTAGTCATTTTAGTTATTATTTGGAGATGTGGGTGAAGATCCACAAATAAACAATTTGTAACATTTTTTAAAAAAGACACCAAGAAGAACATTTCTGTCTCAAGGTCCCACTCTGTATTTCCTTCTTTTGTACACAGTTGTAATCACAACTGTCTGTTGATTAACATCTCAATGTTCGCAAATCCTGTTAATCTTTACTGTCAGGGAAGTGGGGGGTGAAACACTTCTTGTTTTACCTTTTAAAGCTTTGAGAATAACACTCTTGGGCTTAGAAGGGTCCCCAGTGTTCATACTGGCTCGAAAGATGGGCCCACAGCTACCATTGCAAATCTGCTCCAGAACTTCAGAGAGTTGCTCCCGGGGCACCTCCAGCTTAGCCAAGGCAGGTGTGGTAGCTCCCAGAAAGTTTTCCACAGATGTCTCCTTAAGTGGCAAAGCCACATTTCCTCCACATCCAGCTGCTTCCCAGCTTAGGTCCCTAGATGGAGGGACAGGGGCAATGTCTAGAACAGAGAGATGATGTCAACTAGTTTTTCCCTGCCCTAGGGATTCCCGGAAAGCAGAGCCTGAAACAAATTGGCAAGGAAGTTCCTTCAGCAGTTTTCTCTCAGGCCAATGTGGAGTTGTCTTCTCACGCTTCTCCATAAACCGGCATCAATGCCACGCGTGTAGAGCCTTTATAATAATCCTCAGAGCTTTTTAGGACAACTCAAGAAGGACCCCAGGAAAGTGCTCATGACACTTCCTTTCTGTCTTCCTCAGGGTTCCAGTTGAGCACTCCCCATGAGGGTGGTGTGGAGACAGTTAGGAAAGTTCCTAATAGGTATCCAAACCACAGATGCCTAAAGGTGGAGGTAACTGCCACTGAGAACTGCCATTTAAGTCAGACAAATGGCTTTCAACAGAAAGGTATGGATAATTAATAAACTTCAAGCTATGGTTATTCTTTCTCCATCAAGTCGCCCCAAAAGTCAAATTATTTCATATTTCCTCGAGTCTTTGTCAAAAAAGTCTTCTGGTGCTTTCTCCCTCCCTTTGCCAGAAAAAAAAGAGAGGTTCATCCTCTTATTAAACCTACATTTATTCATTAATTCATTCATTTATTCAACAAATGTCACCTATTAACATGCCACGTGCTGTTCTAGGTGTTGGGAACAGGGAAAGTCCAGATTCACCTGAAAATTACTTTCTAGTGGCAGGGGAGAGGAAACAGCTAATAATATGTCAGGCAATTAATATTGTGGAGGAAAATAAAGGAAGGAGAAGGAGCTGAGCGTGGTGCCATGAGCCTGTAATCCCCACTATTGGGGAGGCCAAGGCAGGAGGATCTCCTGAGCCTGGGAATTAGTGTTCAGCCTGAGCAACATAGCAAGACTCCATCTTTTTTAAAAAAAAAAAAGGTGAGGAGAAGAAGCATCAGTCACCCATGTTATATATGAAGGTCAAGAAAGGCCTTTCTGATGAGATAACATTTGAGAAAGGCCTGGAAGCAACTAGGGAGCAAATCATGCCGATGTCAGGAAGAGTACTGTAGGCAAAGGGAGCAAAGATTGCAAAGGCATTAAGCAGGGAGCATACCTGGAATAGCTGAGAAACAGCAAGGAAGCCAGTGTAGCTGGAGCCACGTGGGATCATTGGAGAGTGGTAGGAGATAAGGCTAGGGAGGAGCAGATCATGGAAGGCCATGGGAAGAATTTGTCATTTTTCATTCTGAGCAAGATGGGAAGCTACTACATGTGTGTGTGTGGCAGAGAGATTTCAAGCTGATAATTAACAGGACTGACTGTATTAAAAGACTAATTATAGCCTCTCTATAAAGGAGTAGGGGCAGAAGCAGGACGTTAGGAGTGTATGGCAATGATCTGTGAAAGGTGAGAGTAACTTGGGTTTATTTTTAAAATAGAGTAACAGTGTTTGCTTATGAATTAGATATGGACTGTGAGGGAAAGAAGGGAGTTAAGGATAACTTCAAGGTTTGAGAATGAAAACACAGAAGACAGGGCTTGCCATTTTCTAAGACAGGCAAGACTATTTGGAGAGGACATTTGTGAAAGAATTTCAGGACCTTTGTTTTGGGCATATTACACAAGAGATTTCTATTTTATTGAAACTGTACAGTAGGTGGTTTAATATGAGAATTGAGTTCAAGGGACTATCATTGGAATAGAAAACATATTTGAATCCATAAGACTAAAAATCATATCATTTAGGAAGTGGCTTTAGTTTTTTTAAGTATTTCAAGATAGAAAAAGTTCAAAACTGTTTCAAATGCTTTTGACAGATCAAGTAAGACGAAGACGAAGACTTGACCACTGGGCTTGTCAACATAGCTCTCCCTGATGGGTTTGGAAAGACTTGTTTTGGTGAAATGATAGAGAAAAAAACCCTAATTTCGTGAGATCAAAAGAGAACGTGATGAGTAGAAGTAGCAGGGGTGAGTTTAGACAACTTGTTTGAGAAGTTTTATAAAAGCAAAGTGAGAATTGCGATAAAATTTAAAGACAATCTAAGGATCAGCCACTATAGAGTTGCTTATCATTATGAGGGTTTTGTTTTTGCTTCTTTTTACCCTTAGCGTCATGTATGAGCCGATTCCCTTGTATTAAATGCTCAGTGGGACTCCAGAACAGCCTGTTATCATCTTCTACTTAGCACTTCAAAGACTATTACAACATGAAGGCCACTCCTTTCCATCATATATCCTGGAGGCAAAGAGTAGGAATGAATGAAATGGGGTGAAATGTCATCCTCCTAGGATGCTAATGAAGCCGTGGACTTTAGGTCTTTCTCCTAAGTCCTCAGGCACTCATACAGTCAAAGTTTTGATAGTCCAATAGGAAATGAAACAGGTTATATGAGGTTTTCTTGCACACTCTCCTTCAGTCAATAAACATGTGTTGAACTCAAACTCAGGACTTCCTAGAAAAGAGATCACCCTGCTCTCAACTCCACAGGAGGGAACACATGCCTCTTTCATTGCAGGTACTTAGACTTCTAGACATGGGCTCATTGAAACTTGGACCATATTTTTTCCTAATCTCCATCTTCTCTAAGCCCCTGCCCAGCCCCAAAGTCTGAGCTTTTTACCTCGAGGTCCAGGACGCTGCTGTTGAGTTCTTTGTTCTCTCATGAAAAGCCACAGGATGACCCCAAGAAGGATGAGGAAGATAGTAACCAAGAAAGTTGGGACGATAATCACTTCATACTGCTTCTCCTGGATGACTGGGTAGGCAATCACACAGAAAGAGAAGAGAATGAGGAAGCCTCACCTGGGGTTCATGCAATTTCCCTACCCACCAGCTCTCAGCTCAGCGTACATGAAAAAGTCATCTCTTCTACTTTCCCCTCTACTTCCATTCAACAGAAAAACTGCTGGGAGCAACTCTCTAATCAGAAACCCCAGTGGCCCTGTTTCTTAGCCCTTCAAGTGTGCATGACGCTGCTTCTGGCAGTTTTCCTACCAAGACTGAAGATGCAGCATCTGTATCTCTGATTAGTACTTACCCTCTCCCCAGAAAGACAAGGGCCTCTAGTCCCCAACCTTTATCACCACTGTCTTCATTTCTACTGGAAATCAAACCATCCTCCTTCTAGAATCAATCCAGACCTTAGCCTTCATAAGAGGATAGACGTCTGTGGAATCTGTACTTACCACACAACTTGTCACTGAGACTGCATTCCAGGAGCATCCGTGTCATGACCCTCTCATCGCCCATTGCCACAGGGATGTCTTCTTCCCTGCTAGGCCCACAGAGAATGCACAGAGCACAGCCGTGAGTAATTCCTAAGGATTGAATGGCTCTTGAAAAATAAAATGGAGCACACACAGAATTTTAAACTGCCTCTACAGATCACTAGTTAAGTAAATGGCTACCTCTCTGAGTCATCCATTTATGTCTCTTTATTTAGCTGATATTCAGGCTGGAAGAACACTCCCAACCTCCTCCTCCTCTCAGCATTTGTCGCTTCTCTGTTATATAGCAAAGACAGCTCTGATCTGGTCTTGTCCTTTCATTCGATTGCTACTGAAATTATTTGGAAGTGTCTCCTCCCACCCGAGACTTCTGCTCCCATGATCAATTACAGATTTACAACATCTGTCTGAACAACTGTGATCCATGGGTTATGTGGGTATGATCCACCTCCCCTACAGTCTTACGCATGTCTAATACATTTTTTTAGCTGGGCATCACACTTTTTAAGCAAAACGTTTTTTGAAGTCGGGATCTTGGTCTGTAGTCCAAGTCTTGGGTGCAGTGGTGTGATCACGACTCATTCAAGTCTCAAACTCTTGGGCTCAGCTAATCCTCCTGCCTCAGCCCCCCGAGTCTCTGGAATTACAGGCATGAGCTACCATGCCTAGCTCTAAACAAAACATTTAATTTCATTTTTATACACAGTTAATTCAGACAATGAGTAAAAAGTTGACAGATGTCAAAGGATATGAGTTACACATTTGCTTTCTTTCTCTGGAATATCTGCACCCTCACAAGCAATGAACAGACAGCATTTATCAATGGAAACTGTTTAATTCCTCATCCCTCAGAGCTCCAAGGTGCTCGCCCTGTTCATATCAGATATAGACATGGACACTCATTCCTACCAGCATATAAAGGGAGTATCATTACCAAGTCACCTTCTCTTTCTCTTACTCTTTTAAATAAATAGAAAATGCATTCATGTGATTAAAAAAATGGAAATGTTAAATTGTATAGCATAAAAATCTTTCTCCCACCAGATTCTTCTCCATTTATCAAGTTGTTAATTCTCCTCCAAGTAGACTCTAGTTGTTAGTTTCTTGTTTGTCTGGCAAGGGATTCTTTATGTGTATCTCTGTTAAGTGTATGTAACATAATCAGTATATATTTCAAATAATACCACCAGAAACCTGGTTCCTTCTTTCCAAAGAGACTCATGTTTACTGCTCTTCCAAACCTCTCCAAAATGTATATTTTGCCTTTGCTTGAGAAGACACACTCACGGTTCTATAGTCAGCAAAGCCTACTTCTTTAATTCTGATTAACTTGAAAGAAAATATGGTAATTTTTCTGCTAAATAATTCTAAATATGTGATCCAGTTTTGTAGTGACTTAATAAAAACATAAAACAAAAATCAGAAGTATAGCTTATATAATATGCTACTATATTGTACAGGTGTTAAATTAGCCACATGATGCTGTCCTCTATCATTGCATTGTGCATTGTTTTATTACCAATAACCACAATGTTATTTACTGAGGCAGAGTCTCTCAGTGTCTGAAAGACCTATATAAAGAAGCCTCCCAGATTCTGCCTTACCGGTTTTCCAGTCTTCCTGGAGCACCATGAACTTGTATGTGGGTTCAATAGCTAAACAATTCCCTTACAACTCAAGAGACACAAAGTGTGTGGTTGGTTGAGAGAGCCCAGGTAAACAGCAAAGGAGCCAGTGGGTGGAAAATTGCACAGAAGAGGGAAATTCTTATCTGTGGGTTTGTACATAGAATGGGATCTAAGACGTCGATGAATAGTTAGATAGCAAAGTTCACTAGATGCGGTGGACTTTGCTATCTAACTATTCTCCTACCAAAAAGGCAAGGAGAAAGGTGGCTGAGAAAGTTTCCACGATTCTCGAGGCCACATGGAAGGACAGGCACTAGCGATGAAACTTTTAAGAAACAAAGCCTTGAGAGAGTGCACAAAGAAGGTCTGGAAAAGAAAACATTGGATCAGCAGGGTGACCTCATGGAGGCTATTAGAAAAGTTATCACTGCTATTCTCATTCTTATTTTTCTTTTCTTTGCTTCCTTTTTACGGGATTATCAGAAGTAATTATCTTCATTCAGGGAGCAGCCAGTTTAACCAGTTTGGCTTTCTGGGGAGGAGGTTCTCTGGGCACACTCTTTCTCACCATAGCACAAGTGGAGAAAAGGGTCAGTCAGCAGCTAGCTCAGGCTCCTGAGCTCTACCCAGAAAACAAATGATACACCCACTAATACATACTGAAGGGAGTCATTCAAAGCCATCTGTGCACGTGTACCCCACACAGAACCGCTCATGGAGGGTCATCCATACTCAACGATAGGCTCCTGGCCAAACACACCTGTCCCTGATAGCTCAAACTCATGCTCATCCCCTTACACTGACTATCACACCTATTACAGAGCACTCACCTTTGGATGCAATATGGCCGGCTACTGCATTTCCTGAGCCAGGTTCTCACCGTCACTTTTATTTGTACATCAGTAGTTTAAAGAGACGAGGCATATTAATACCTAGCAACCCAATGAAATTGGATGCTAGAGCAAGCAGATTAATGTATGGAGTGATGAGGCCCACTCAGTGAAATTGCTTTCCGTGTGTGTTATTCGTGTCCAATAGTATCGAATATTAAGTGCATTTAATAAACAGATCTTCCAAACAGGCTTTGTGTGGGCAAAAAGGCCGTTTTATTTCTTGCTTGGCTGCAAGCGGGCGGAATCTGAGAAAGGACAGGCGAAGCGGCTAATGTGGGAATTGGCTTTATAGGTTGGGGTAGTTTTTTGCGGGGTGGGGGTGTTGCAGAGTAAGATCAGTTACCGTGGTGGGGGGTAGGTGCAAGGAGTATACGTGACCACAAGTTCAGTTACAATGGCAGGGTTGGGTCAGAGGTATTTACCTTACCATAAGAACAGTTAAGATGGCAGGGTTGGGTGAGGGACTTGTCCGGGGAAGCTCTGCTGCGCGATCAGGGACAATGGAGAATGCAAGCAGGGGGTGGGAGACATCAGCCAGGACAGGCAGGACTTCCGACTTTCAGGCTCCAGGCTTGCATATGGAGACTGACACTGTGTATACAGTAAGCCCTTTCTAATGGTTACAGTTTAGGTAGAGGCACATGGAATGTACCAGATGAGCCTAGGATTTTTAAGGCATACACACGAGGCATATCCATACATATCCATGAAAGCCAATGTGGGAAACTCACCAGACAGAGGCCACCAAAGCTTAAACATCAGAGGACACTTACATTTACATGTAACAGCAATATTCCTCTCTAGATGACTTTTTTCTTTGAAATTCATACTCAGAAACCACATGGCTTTGCCTGGACACTCTGTCAAGCTGAGAAAAGGCATGCCTCGATGCCAAAACCCTCTAGGATGACTTTTCCCATGGGTTCAATTCTGGCCCACCTGACTACTAGAAGAATACTTCTGGCTAAGGTTCCTGTTCAACCTGACCAATACTGTGCTTCCTTTCATTATATCTAAATACTTTTCCCACTATGTTAAAAATAAAGTATGTAGGCTGCTGCTTCTTCTCTTAGCTGAGCTGTAAAATTCTTAACACTATAAAGCATTATCCGCAGTTCTCTATTTAATGTCATGAATAATGAAATTCATGACATTAGAATCAAGGTCTAGTGAAACTGTAATTTATTTTATTCTGATAACTGTGTTTGATAGTTGCAAAATATGATTGTATATAGTTTGCCTCTAGTTTACATATTCCTATATCTACAGAGTCAAATCTCTTCAGGCAGGGTCCTAATTAGAACAATAATATTGCCTCACTTGTAGTTATCATTCCTTAACTTTTCTCTCAGCAGCTGCTTCAGACTTTCTCTTAGCATGTTAAAAGGTTTAACTTCCCTCTTTAATTGAGAATCTGAGGAGAAACAGCACAATGAAGGAGATACAGAAAGGAAGAGAATGAAAGTGAAATGAGCAGTAAACTCCATGCTAAATCTTTACGAGACTATATAGTCTGAAGACCATAAAAGCTCATGAACACAACCATAATGAAATTGAACTAAACAGTAATATTAATTCTCTAAACTTTTATACATACAATACAAGCATACATAATGTCACATGACATTTATGCATCTATTTTAATCCCGACTATATTCTATTTGCAACAATGACACAACTCTTATTAAGTGGCATTTCTTTTCAGTTAGTGCAATACAGTCTCTGGTACACAATCTGCAATTTACCCACGACTTTCCAGAATAAACTCTTCTTACCAAAATATACCTAGATATAAGGCTTCTAAAATTAGATTTCCTGTACTCTGCCTGCTTACATGTTGTGAAAAATTCCGTGATTGAACTCAATGTAACATCTGGCCCCATTCTAGTAAGGTACAATTAAATCTTGGTGTCAGCCTCACCTTCAACCTTACTACTTGCTTATCAACACACGTGGATCTTCCAGTTATGTTTTTTTTAGATAGTTAAGTGATCTACCCTCCCAAGTGGATGCCATATGGGTCAAGGAAGTTATTCATGACTTTGGGCTGGGGGCAGAGGACTCAAGACTAAAAGTGAGAAGGATAAAATATATGGAGGTAGCAGCTCCTTGCCAGAAACAGTCTGCCTTTCATCCTTTGTATAGTCTTTCATCCTTACCCTTGAGCTATCTGAAAAAAAA